GAAAGAATTTTCCATTTTGAGTCTCTGATGACTGCATGGGAAGGCCTGTTTCCTTACAAAACATGCCTCTCAAAATGTCAGGACAACTGAACTGTTCTCATAAAGCTAAACATATTATAAAATCCTCAATTACAATTGTCCTTTCCAACAGTCCTTGACAGTACTTTGTTGCCTTTTGAACTTAATTTTGTTCTTTGCTTTGCAATTAAACACATGAATGACTGACTGAAGTCCTGTGAATGACGGATAGAGATTAGAATGCCCACTTGCCTCTCCCTAATGGTTTCTATCTGTGTCTAAACTGGATTAACTTTATAGCTTCTTTCTTAATCACTGGTATCAGATCATCCAGTTTTCCATTTTCTACTCATTTTATCAAGTAATGAGGCAAAGCATGCAATTTTTATAAACATATACTATTGACCAGATACATAGAGGGTTGCTGCCAAAACTGACCTGTGGGCTAGCAGGAGCACCCTGGTGCCAAAGCTGATGTTTGGGTTTAGAGTATGAAAGGCAATTTGAGGTATGATGTATGAAAGAGCTGATTGTGTGTGAAACAAGTGAAGTGGAGACTCATTTGTATCTGCTGTCTCTTAAATATGACAAGATAGATACTACCTCCTCTTGGATGATTAGTGTGGCCTTCAAAAGGCACCCTGGCCTCTACTCAGGGTTAATCCATTGAGAGTGTTGGTGCCAAAATCGAAGAACCAGGTGTCTTATTGCTCACAGCTGCCAACTTCAGGTCTGCCTAGGGTACCTGGCAGTGATGGCTGACAGTGGAGATCCAGTCCTGCATTTCAATGCCAGGAAGGGCCCCCTCGCAGGCCACAGCTGAACTGTGTTAGGCCCAGGTACCCTCTTCCTCTAAGACTCCATTGGCATTGGACACCCTGGAACACTCAATGTTGTTTCATCACCCAAAGTACAATGACTTTCAATAAACTTCTGAGCTGTTGTTTTTTATTTTTTGGATGGGGTTTTCCTCTTGTCGTCCAAGCTAGAGTGCAATGGTGCAATCTCGGCTCACTGCAACCTCCATCTCTCGAGATCAAGTGACTGTCCTGCCTCAGCCTCCCAAGTATCTGGGATTACAGGCATACACCACTATACCCAGCTAATTTTTGTATTTTTAGTAGAGATGGGGTTTTGCCATATTGGTCAGGCTGGTCTCAAACTTTTGACCTCAGGTGATCCACCTGTCTCAGCCTCCCAAAGTGCTAGGATTACAGGCATGAGCCACAGTACTGGCCATAAACTTCTGAGTTCTCATCTCCAAACTTCTCTGTAATCCTCTGATATAATCCTTCATTCCTTTCCTCCTGTATTACCTCCCTCACTGTGACTTCTAGAACTGTTGCTCCATAATCAGCATGTATTAGTCCATTTCATACTGCTGTGAAGAAATACCAGAGATTGGGTAATTTAAAAAGAAAAAGAGGTTTAATGAACTCACAGTTCCACATGGCTGGGAAGGCCTCACAGTCATGGCAGAAGGCAAAGGAGGAGCAAAGGCATGTCTTACAAGGCAGCAAGCAAGAGAGTGTGTGCAGGGGAACTGCTCTTTATAAAACCATCAGATCTTGTGAGACTTATTCACTATCATGACAACAGCATGGGAAAAACCTGCCCCATGATTTAATTATCTCCCACCAGGTCCCTTTCACAACATGTGGGGATTATGGAGCTACAATTCAAGATGAGATTTTGGTGGGGACACAGCCAAATCATATCACAGCACATTCTTTTTTTTTTTTTTGAGACCAAGTTTTGCTCTTGTCCAGGCTGGGGTGCAATGGTGTGATCTCGGCTCACTGCAACTTCCACCTCCTGGGTTCAAGTGATCCTCCTGCTGCAGACTCCTGAGTAGTTGAGATTACAGGCATGTGCCAACACATCTGGCTAATTTTTGTATTTTTAGTAGAGACAGGGTTTCACCATGTTGGTCAGGCTGGTCTTGAACTCCTGACCTCAGGTGATCTGCCTGCCTCAGCCTTCCAAAGTGCTGGGATTACAGGCGTGAGCCACTGCACTCAGCAGCACATTCTTCGATGTATTTTTTGCTTGAAATCTTCCCTCCAGGTTCTTGACTTAACCTGAGCTATTCTCTGAGCACTGCCTCCTTTGTGACCTCTGAAGGGCGCACTTTTTTCTTATGTCTTATATTCCTCTGATAGGAGGTGGTGTTTGTGTCCTCCTTGTTCCCACAACTGCTTCAATCCTTCCCTTCCCTCTTGTGAGCTCCGCTGAGGCTCCCATCATTGAAGTTTTCCACCTCACCTCCTCATAGAAACGATCTCCTGGTCATTATCAACCCCCCACTCTTTATCTCAAAAAAAAAAAAAAAAAAAAAAAGAGTCTCACTCCTTCTCCTGGGTTAGAGTGTAGTGGTGCAATCTCAGCTCACTTCAACCTCTGCCTCCAGGATTCAAGTGATTCTCCTGCCTCAGCCTCATGAGTAGCTGGGATTACAGGTGCATGCCACCGCGCCTGGCTAGTTTTGTATTTTTTTGGTAGACACGGGGTTTTGCCATGTTGGCCAGGGTGGTCTCGAACTCCTGACCTCAAGTGATCTGCTCACCTCGGCTTCCCAAAGTGTTGGGATTACAGGCATGAGCCACTGCACCCAGCCAACCTCCTCTGTTTTGTTCCTGGATGGCCTTAATCTCCATGCCAACTCCTGCCATCATTAATTCTCTTGAGGGAAACATCATCCCCATGGATGGCCCTTCCAGTCCTCTGACTTCTTACCTCCCTGGCCTCCTCACCAGGCCGAAGTCTAACATTTGCAGCAGGAGTGCAAATTGACTCATTTGTATGTCTAAATATTTAAATGTTATACAAACAGCTAACAAGCTGCTAAATAACACACTTCCTATACTCCTTTCTTGACAACCATACCTTCAGATTATAACAAAATAAAAAATGCATGTAAAGTTATGGTAAAATAACAAGGACAAACTATTATTGTGTACATCTGGGTGTTCTTTTGATGGACTGGCAACATGTGGATGAGTAATAAAAAAATCATACATAATTTATAAATTATATTTAGTTTATGAAAGTTAATTTTCTTGCCTTCGTTTAAGCAAATTACCAATTATGTTGTTATAATCAAGACTTTTACGTAATTTATGTTCTATTGAGAGTAATGGCAAATTAGACAACCTTTCTGGGGAATTATGGTTCTTAGGGTGTTTCTCATTAATTTGAAAATGCAGAAACTATGTTCCGCTGAGGTCAGAGCAACTGGAATTGTCAATTAAGTTCTTAAAGCCATAGTTAGGTGGGAAATGAACTATAAATTTAATATATCATGCTCAAACATTTTAATGAGGTTAGGCTGTATATAATCAATCACTGTCACAGAAAACAGTACAAAATATGTTAATTTCATTATATAAATTTGTATCACTAGTATCATGAGTTTCACTATCTCCAAGCAATATCAAGATCAATACAGTACTTTTAAGTATTGCCCAGGCTGGAGTGCAGTGGTGTGATCTCGGCTCACTGCAACCTCTGCCTCTTGGGTTCAAGTGTTTATACTGCCTCAGCCTCCTGAGTAGCTGGTACTACAGGCATGTGCCACCACATCTAGCTAATTTTTGTATTTTTAATAGTGACGGGGTTTTATCATGTTGGCCAGGCTGATCTCGAACTCCTGATCTCATGATTCGCCTGCCTCAGCCTCCCAACGTGCTGGGATTGCAGGCATGAGCCACTGTGCCCGGCTCCTTTCAAATCCTTTAATCTGGGATATAATAAGAAAATTGACAACAGCAGCATGTTATTCAATTTATTAAATTTTTTTTCCAGATTGTATCCTGATCTAAAATGGCCAAAAATCATCTCCAAAGAAATTAAAGGAAAATTTTGGAAAGTCATACATGAATCTTCTTCATGGTCATACAAACATGTTTGTTTCCTTTCAAATTTTCTTTAAAAATAAAATTAATCATCCAAAAAGTAAAATAGACAAACTTAACTCTAGCTTTCTTTTGCAAGCAACAGTTCACACCAAGTAATTGTGGATAGTGCAAATACAAAAGTAATTTCATTTTCCACTAAAGAGCACAATTCACTTATATTTGAAGATCATCTATTGTTTCACTTAAGTCTTCCAGAGCATCTCACCTATCTTGTGTAAATGAAATCAGATTGTTTTAACACAGTGAGTAGCTCCAGGACTCTGCATTAGAACATAAAAATGGACACTTGGCACAACTGGGAAATGATATTTTGCTATGAAAGACTCTATTGCATCAATGCCAACCGGAATGGATTTGAGAAGTTAATTAGTTTTCTCTTTTAGTTAAATGCTTCTGTTGTTCAGATTCTCGTTGCACTCTGAAGGAGTTTCTCTCATTCGTATGACACCACCCAGAAACGTTCATGGCATCCAAATGTGGTTGCTTTCTAATTTGAGGACCAAAAGTGCAGAGAAGCACTTAATGGGAGCTGTGTGGTGTGAGGCATGAGAGTGAATGTGTAGAGTGTGTTTACACTGTGCCAGCTCTGAGCATTGAATACCAATGGCTGTACGCCCTTGGTAAATTTACTGTGTGTAGCACACAAAGGGCACATGCACAGCCCTTTAAAATGTGGGGCCAATGGCAGTGGGCCCTTTTGAGGTGAAGTCTCCTCACCCCCAGGGACTTTTGCTTGCACTCCATCTTGGCCAACCACTCCCACAGTCCCACTGTACCTGTCTGTGTTTCTGGTTGCAAGCAACAGAAACCAATGCCAGTTAACTAAAGTAGAAGAGGAATTTGTTGGAAGGACATTGAATAGCTCACAGAATCAACATGAAGTTTGAGGAACCTGGCCTAGAACACAGACAGAAAGCAAGGAAAGCTGGGCAGTTGAGAATGCAGCTGAGGTCACGCCAGAGGGGCAGCTTGGTTAACACATTGCCTCTCGTCCTGCCCTTCCTGTGAAACTTAACTCTGCAGATGTCATGAATCATTTCCAGTGATTCCTGTGGTTTTGTGTTACTCTCTTCAGACTCAAATACCTTGGCAGAAGGATCTGGATGGCTGAGCACAGCATGTGTGCCCTTGCTTTTGATGGTGGCGTATGGGGAGAGGCAATGTCTGGCACCCTTTGGCTTCCTGCACAGCAGTAGGTGGGGACTTGCCTCTCACCAAAGCACACAAATGTGAATGTGTACAAATAGGAAGGAAATCAGGCACTTGACAGCCAAACAAAAACAAAGACCAATGTCTGCTATTCCCACTGTAGGTCTTGTCACCAGCAGCAACTGCAATACCTTTGAAATAATGAATTCATTCTACCTTTGGGTTATGACCCATCCTGCTAGTTTCTTGCTTAAGGACAGATGTCCCTTGCAACAGCTCTTCAACCTCATGGACACCTCTCATCCATGAAAAACTCTACCTTCTCTCTAGCCATCTGCTCCATCTGTCTTTACTTTCTTATTCAGCTTGGAGTCCATGGCCGATTCATCATTTCCATTGCTCACTGAACTTTCCTTCCATTGCATGCATCTGATAAATTCCCAGCTTTGAATAGAATGTGATGCTCTTTCCCAGCTGTGTAGTAGAGTGAGCCATCCTTAAATCCTTTCTTTCCCTGGCCCTCAATGTCTAATCCACCGTCAAGTACTGTCCATTCTAATGTCAAAATATGTAGCCTAACGGTTCTTTCTATGTCCACTGCCATCCTTCTAGTCCAAGTCACTATTGTCTCTTGCCTGAAGTATTGCCACAATTCCCCAGTTAGTCTCTGTTTTCGCTCTTTCATTTCCTACAGGCCACTCCCCTCAGGGCAGTTACATGTCCTTATCAAATGTAAGTCACATTGGCCAGGCACGGTGGCTCACGCCTGTAATCCCAGCACTTTGGGAGGCCAAGGTGGGCGGATCACATGAGGTCGGGAGTTCAAGACCAGCTTGACCAACATAGTGAAACCCTGTCTCTACTAAAAATACAAAATTAGCTGAGTGTGGTGGCGCATGCCTGTAATCCCAGCTACTCGGGAGGCTGAGGCAGGGAATCACTTGAACCCAGGAGGTGGAGGTTGCAGTGAGCCGAGATCGTGCCATTGTACTTCAGCCTGGGCAACAAGAGTGAAACTCTGTCTCAAAAAAAAAAAAAAAAAAAAAAAGTGTAAGTCACATCATTTGCCATTTCTCTACTCAGAAACACTAAATCCTCAACAGGACTTACCAGGACCTGCATAACCCAGCCATGTCACCTTCACTTTCTGTGTATGCTGTTCCCATCCATTCCCCTTCACTTTCTGTGTATGCTGTTCCCATCCACTCCCCTTCACTTTCCACGTATGACGTTCCCATCCACTCTCCTTCACATTCTGTCTATGCTGTTCCCATCCACTTCCCTTCACTTTCCGCGTATGACATTCCCATCCACTCCCCTTCATTTTCTGCGTATGCTGTTCCCATCCACTCCCCTTCACTCTACTGCAGTCTCCTTGCCTTTCTTTCAGTTCAGAGATGATGCCAAACATCTTTGTTGGGTTGTCTCTTCTGCCTGGAATGCTCTTTTCCTAACTCACTGTCTGGCTCTCTTCTACTCATCCTTTCATCTTAGCAGAAATATTCTTTTTCAGAGGGGTTCTTCTTGATCCCCCAAAGTAAAATAATTCTCTCTGTAATGCCCAGTCATGGTATTCTTTCCCAGTGCTTGTCATGTTTTGGCTCATGTGGTTGTTTAGTGCTTGATACCTCCATGGAATGGAACTTCATGAGGAGCAGAAGTGCTTTTTGTCGTTTGCATTTTTTTTTTTTTTTTTTTTTGAGACAGGTCTCACTCTGTCACCCAGGCTGGAGGACAGTGGTGTGATCTTGGCTCACTGCAGCCTCTACCTCTGAGCTCAAGTGATCCTCCCACCTCAGCCTCCTGAGTAGCTGGGACTATAGGAGCACTCTACCACGCGCAGCTGATTTTTGTATTTTTCATAGAGACAGGGTTTCACCATGTTGCCCAAGCTGGTCTTGAACTCCTGGGCTCAAGCGATCTTCCTGCCTTGACCTCCCAAAGTGTTGAGATTACAGGCATGAGCCACTGCACCTGGCTCTCTGTTTACTCTTATAGCCCCCTGCACAGTACCTGAACACAGAAATATTGGTGAATGGAGTGAAAGAGACAGGCCTGCAACAAGGTGTTGGCAAAACTTCCCGCCCCCTGCCTGCTTGTTTTCTCCCAACCTCCTTCTGCCTCAAGTCGTTTCCTTCAGCTTTTAAATTCATCAGGTTATGAGAGAATCTTATCTCTGTTCCCCTGCTAGGATGGAATTTAGAATTCAGATGCTAAGATGTAAAAGGAAGGAGCAAAATTGAACATGGAAAGAAATACTGAATAAAGAATACTCCCCCGAGTGGCTACACATCTTCACTGTCATCAGTAATCTCAGTGTGCAACTATTGAGGCTTGAGTTATTTACATGGCTCTAATCCTCTTACGTTCTAATCAAGATCATTCCAACAGCTCTGCATTTAGATGTCCAACTGCATTAGGCATTCACAAATTATTTCTTTGTCAATGCTGTGTTGGTACAATTCTAATCTCCTAGGGATTAAACACAATTAAATTCATTCTTCTTTATCCTAATATAGTTTATCTCCATCAAAGTTGTGTTTTTAAGTTTTCCATGCTAATTCCTTCATGTAATTAATCGTCAATTTAAAGTGAATAGCAAGAAGAGAAATCACCCGTATGTCTGGACATTGTCTAGTACAATCGTTTCTGATTCAATGAGTTTTTGACTACTTAGAAGAGGCATGTACAATTTTTGGATTTTCTCACATATTTTTTTCTCCTCTTCTTTCCTCTTATTCACTTCTGAGCAATTTCATCCTTTACTAACAATGGTAGCATAGATGAAAATATGTAAAAATTGCAAGAATATTTTCTCTGAGGGATAAATGTATCACATAGTACATGCTATGTTGTCAGAGTTGACTAAAGAAGAAAAGTATTTTCAATCGGCCGCCATGGGCCGCACTTGTAATCCTAGCACTTTGGGAGGATGAGGTGAGCCCAGGAGTTTGAGACCAGCCTAGGCAACATAGTGAAACTTTACCTCTACAAAAATTACAAAAATTAGCTGGGCATGGTGGCGCACACCTGTAATCCCAGCTACTTGGGAGGCTGAGGTGGGAGGATCCCTTAAGTCTGGGGGGTCAAAACTGTAGTGAGCCATGATCATGCCACTGCATTCCAGCCTGAGCAACAGAGCAAGACCTCATCTCAAAAAGAAAAAAGTCTTTTGATATAAAATATGATTTCAAGTAGATTTAAGCTAATCATAGATTTATTCATTAAAAAGTATTGAACAATTACAAATAAATGTTGTGTGGGAAAGTGACAATGTATTTAAAGCCATATAAAAACTAATTCTTAATGATCAAGTTTCTGTAGCCCCCCCTCATGTTTTAACTATTTTAGACAATTGGCCACATATGCATTTTGTGATGAAACAAACATGGGTTATGTCTTTTTTTATTTTTACTTATTTATTTTTTTCTTTAAGATGGAGTCTCACTCTATCTCCCAGAGGCTGGAGTGCAGTGGTACAATCTTGGCTCACTACAACCTCCGTCTCCCAGGTTCAAGCGATTCTCCTGCCTCAGCCTCCTAAGTAGCTGGGATTACAGGTGCCTGCCACCACATCCAGCTCATTTTTGTATTTTTAGTAGAGATGGGGTTTCACCATGTTGGCCAGGCTGGTCTTGAACTCCTGACCTCAGGTGACTCACCCACCTTGGCCTCCCAAAGTGCTGGGATTACAGGCATGAGCCACCATACCTGGCTAGTTATGTCTTTCTCGATTCTAATCAGCACATACATAATTTTGCATAGATATATTGATTAGGGAGGCATTTATGAAGGGAAGGTAGTGGAGAGGTTGGGATGTCAGGTAATAGGAGTTCTATAGGATTCCATACTTTGGCCTACAATGGACATTGTAGCCTACTCAGCACTTATTTAAACCTTCCAAATTGACTCCAATATTTGTTCTTCTATCCACTCCTTCCCCTCTCAGCTAATGTACTCTTCAGCCAATGTACTTAGGGAGAAACTGATCCCATGCTGAGTTCTAGGAATGGGCCTTATTTTCCAGGAATGAATCCATATCCTTTCCAGTAAGGGGCTCTGGGATCCAGGTGTAAGTGCCATGTGGTTGGTTTAGGAATGGGCCAATGAGACACTGTGAGGAAGTTTGCTGAGGGCTTCTAGGAATTTGCCCATAATAGAAAGCTACCAGAATTCACAGACCCTTTTCATTTTGACTTTCTTGTCCATGGACACGAGGCCGGTGACTGTGGCAGCCATTTTGTAGGAAGCCTAGAGGTGAAGCCTACTCAAGAGAGACAAAGACCACCACAAAGAACCAGAGCTCAGTAATGGCTGGGGCCTGCCTTACCTCTACCATTTCTACACCTTCTCAGTCTCTTAGCCAATTAACAGGCTTGATTTTAAAGCAATTTTTAATTCCATTTCTGTTTCTGGAACACAAAACAAACATTTTAACCTATGTAATCCCAATTTATACTTCCTTAATGTTTTTGTTTGTTAATCTTTAAGTTTCAGAATTCTTTTCCGATTATAAAAATAATACATGCTCATTGTAGAGAACCAAGAAAACACTGAAAGATACAAAGAAGATTAAAACCATCCGCGGGCTGGGCGCGGTGGCTCAAGCCTGTAATCCCAGCACTTTGGGAGGCCGAGGCGGGTGGATCACGAGGTCAAGAAATCGAGACCATCCTGGTCAACACAGTGAAACCCCGTCTCTACTAAAAATACAAAAAATTAGCTGGGCATGGTGATGCGTGCTTGTAATCCCAGCTACTCAGGAGGCTGAGGCAGGAGAATTGCCTGAACCCAGGAGGTGGAGGTTGCGGTCAGCCGAGATCGCCCATTGCACTCCAGCCTGGGTAACAAGAGCGAAACTCCGTCCCCACCAAAAAAAAAAAACAAAAAAAAAAACAAAAACCATCCTCAATCTCATTATCCCTAGATAACTGCTATTGAGTTTTGAGTTAGTTTCCTCTTTATTTATCCAAACTTACACAGAAATTTTACATATATACTTATCCTGCTTTAATGAAATTCACAGCCTAGTGGGAAATAGAAACAAACCAAAAAAACCAAAGAGATGAATACATTCGATTATGGAAGGTTATAATAACTATTAACCTGTGTTCACTGGTTTTGGGTCAATGTTGCTAATCATGTTATACCCCATCTCTGCAACCCAGAATAAATCATCAAAGGGTTTATGTTAATAACTATTAAAATATAACAATGTCTCATAATGCCACAAAATCAACCAGTTACCAATATGCCCATTTGGTTTCCCTTCAGTAGGTAGTATTTTTTATGGAAAGTTGTTCCGTCAGTGACTGGTTTCGCTCAACTGTCATTAGGTCTTGTCACAATAGTTTAGTTACAGCAAAAATGAGTGTTATATATTATTTTGATGAAACACACATGAAAGGTTCAGAATTCATCAGTGAGCTGGGTAAAAACCCTCAGAGCAGGGCCTTCAAGAAGATGGAAGTTATATTGCTATGATAGTACCAAGCTCATCAGTTCTAAATGTTTTCTAATTTCTATTATTATTTTACTACCCATGAGTTAATTGGAATAGCAGAAATATGGGGCTTACTAGTTATCTTTTGGTTATTCTTTTTCTTTTTTTTTTTTTTTTTTGAGACTGAGTCTCTCTCTGTTGCCCAGGTTGTAGTGCAGTGGCGTGATCTCGGCTCAAAGCAACCTCCACTTCCCAGGTTCAAGCAATTCCCCTGTCCCCTGCCTCAGCCTCCCGAGTAGCTGGGATTACGGGCGCATGCCACCGCGCCCAGCCAATATTTTTGGTATTTTTAGTAGAGACAGGGTTTCACTATGTTGGCCAGACTGGTCTTGAACGCCTGACCTCAGGCCATCCACCCACCTCGGCCTCCCAAAGTGCTGGGATTACAGGTATGAGCCACTGCACCTGGCCTAGTTATTGATTTTTAACTTACCTATTTAGTGAGCAGAAAATGTAGTTGCTATGATATAAATCCTTAGATATGTAGAGATTTGCTTTATGGCACAGTATGTTCAATTTTTATAAATGTTTAGCATATTCTTGAATGGAGTGTGTATTCTACGGTCATTAAGGCAATATTCTACAGGTATATGTTAGATTAAGCTTGGTAATTGTGTTACTGATCTATTCCAATCCCTTAAAGATTTTTTGGTCCCCTCGATCTAGGTATTGTTTCCTGTAATCAGCTGCTTAACAAATTATCACAACAGGTGGCTTAGAAAAACCAACATGCATTCTCAGTTCTGGAATCTAGAAGTCTGAAAACAAGTGTTGGCAGGGTCACGCTCCCTCTGGAGGTTCAAGAGGAGAATTTTTCTCTTCCAGCTTTGGGTGGCTGTCAGCTTTCCTTGTCTTGTGAATGCCATTGCTCCAATCTCTGCTTTTGTGGTTCCGTTATCTCCTCCTCTTCTCTGTGTCTTCTCTTCTACTTCTCTTTTATGAGGACAGCTGTCATTGGATTGATGGCCCATCTGGATAATCCAGGATAATTTTCTCATCTCTAGAACTTTACATCTGCAAACACCCTTTTCCCAAAAAAGGTCATACTCACAAGTTCTAGGGATTAGGACATGGACATACCTTGTGGGAGGCCGTATTCAACGCATAGTAGTTAGAGAGGGAGTGAGTTTGAGTTATTCATGCGTGTTTTTAAAATTCCTTTATGTTTGTATGCACAAACCAAAAATGTAGGTGAAACATCACCTACTCCAATGGTAGATTTCTCTGTCTTCTTATACTTTGGTCCATTTTTGCTTTATATATTTTGTGGCTATATGGTTGCTATGATATAAATCCTTAGATATGTAGAGGCTTGCTTTATTACACAGTATATTCAATAAGAGACACTTTTTTTACTCTATCTTCCCTGTATATTGGATATTGTTCATGTAAAGACTCTTTATCTCATCACACTCACCCATCTACCTAGAAAATGTCTGCTGATGATAAACCGTCAGTTGTTTCTCTGAAACAGAATTTGCCTTCCTTCTTCTGCTTTTCTTTTGCCACACATGGAATTCTACAGTTTTATGTTTTCCCCTTCAATGTATCACTTCATTCTTTTTTCTTTCTTTTTTTTTTGGAGACAGAGTCTCACTTTGTCACCCAGGGTAGAGTGCAGTGGCCTGATCTCGGCTCACTGCAGCCTCGACCTCCAGGGCTCAAGTGATTCTCCCACCTCATCCTCTGGAGAAGTTGGGACCACAGGCACGTGCCACCATGCCAGGTTAACTTTTTGTGGAGATGGGGTCTTGCTATGTTGGTCAGGCTGGTCTCGAATTGCTGGGCCCAAGCTGTCCTCCCGTTTCGGCTTCCCAAAGTGGAGGGATTACAGGCCTGAGCCACTGCGCCCAGCTGGCATTTTTAAAAGTTGGATTACTGGCCTCAGTGCATACAGGCGTAAAGGAATTTTAAAAACAGGCAGGAATAACTCAAACGCATTTCTTTTTTGCGCCATCCTGCTTTGTGTGATTCGGTTTTTATACTCGGTTTTGTGCGTTTGGGTCGCGACGGCTGGGGACTGACCAAAGAGCAGTCCGGCCACGGGCCGCCCAGGACGGTCCCATCCGTGTATAACTTGCGACCCCGGGGCCTCTTGTGGCCCCGTATCTTCGTTCCAAGCAAAAGCCGGGGCTCCCAGGCACTCAGAGGTGCAATGGCCTGATAGACCTGGAGAGCGCGAGAACACCTCCAATAACGCTGGCCAGTCCACAGCGACTGCACTGACCGGCCTTGCGCGCGTACTCAGGAGCCGGCAGACTCCTCGTTGTCTTGGTAACCAGAATGCGAACGCGCGTGCGCAGAACAAACACCTTTGTCACGGGAGGCCGGGTCGGGGCGGGGCCGGCGAATGCTAGTCCGGGCCCGTCGCTCCTCCCTTATCGGCTCCCGGCCAGCCGAGGCGGGGCGAACCTTTGCTCTGTGGCGTGGGAGTGATTCACAGCTCCCGCCCCTTTTCGCTGAGCTTTCTCGCCACCACGTGCCCTTCTGGCCGCGCCCCCAGCTGCCCTTTCCAACTGCCTATTGGAAGCCGCTGTAAAATGTCGTGAGGGGCGCCGCTGCTTTACGGCAGCCTCTCCCAGACTAGAGACCCGGAGCGCCCACCGCCGTCAGCCGCGTATCCTAGCGAGTCGGTCCCGCGGTGAGCGAGAGACCCTGCGCACCGCAGCCCTCCCCGCTGCGCCCGTTCCTGCCCCCGGCGATGTGAGCTCGGGGAGGCAGTGGTGCCCGCTGGCTCGGGGTTGAGACGGGCGGCAGGTGCCTGTGAGGCGGGCGGGTGCCGGGGGCCAGCAGGATGGAGGAAAGCATGGAAGAGGAGGAGGGGGGCAGCTACGAGGCGATGATGGACGACCAGAACCACAACAACTGGGAGGCCGCCTTGGACGGCTTCCGGCAACCCCCGCCACCCCCACCGCCCCCCTCGTCGATCCCAGCCCCTGCCCGAGAGCCTCCGGGGGGGCAGCTGCTGGCGGTGCCCGCGGTCTCCGTGGACAGGAAGGGCCCCAAGGAGGGGCTCCCTATGGGTCCGCCGCCACCGCCGGAGGCCAATGGGGTGATCATGATGTTGAAGAGCTGCGACGCGGCCGCCGCCGTGGCCAAGGCGGCCCCCGCCCCCACTGCCAGCTCCACCATCAACATCAACACCTCCACCTCCAAGTTCTGTGAGTCCAGCCTTTCCCAGCAGCCTTGGCTTTTCTCCACCCCACTCGGACGCCGAATTCAGCCCCTTTTGGAGCAAGCCCCGCTTCCTTTGTTTCAGGCCTCGGTCTTTCCTCCTTTCCCAGTCCCCCTTCCTCCTCCTGCCCGTCCCCTCCCCCTCATTTGGTGTCTGCGGCCAGCGCCTGAGCGGCCCTGGCTTCTTGTATTACCTGGCCTAGAGAGGCAGCCTGGTACACACGCAGCCCCAAGTTCTACCAACGCGATCCCTATCACAACTGGCTGTCTCAACATTGCGAAGCTCTTTTCGCACCCGTCTTCTCTTGAAGTTTCACCCTCAAAAGTGAGAGGAAAATAAGGCTGCCTGAGTCTCGTTAGGGGAAGGCCTTCAGTCTTTTGCAGCCGGAGAGAGAAATGAAGTCTGGCCACTTGTGTTCTTGTGCTTTTGTCCATGCTGTGTTAAAGAAGTCAGGAATTTGAAAGTTGACCTATATCTGCAGCTTGTTCTTCCTCTTCTGTGTTGCACCTTTGCATCCTGCTAGGGAAATATGTATGAGTTGCTTTCCGATGCAGTGGCAGCTCCGACATCGTTTTGAAGCTAATAATGCATAAAATCACTTTCAGAGCTTACACTCCTAAGAATAAGCGTTTCAGCATGGGTTAAGCCTTGTGTCCAAACCCAAGATTGGGTTGCTTATTGAACTTTATGCTAATGATCTGTCTTAACGCTCAATTGCACGCAGAAAGATTTAAGACCAAAATCTGTTTCGTAAAATGAAAATGACCATCACAGCCAGGGTTTTCTCTCCTATTATTAACTGCAAGTTTTGAATGGCATCTGGTAAAGCAACTGGAGAGTTCATTTCTGGTTACTAATTTTACCAAGCTGTCTTGTCCAATCAGCTGTGCGGAGAAAATATTTGCCTTGATGCAGATAGAGTAGGAATCTTACACACATTGTGGGAACAGCACGTAATTTTAATTATTTGCCTCAAGAGACTGCCTTAGTCAAAGACATTAATATGTAGGTTTGATTGGTGAGATTTATATGTGCTTTTTCTCCTTATTCACGATAATAATGTTTATATTGTATATTTTGTGTGTTGAAGTCTGTGTTGTGGAACCACTATAGAGTGGCAGAATGACTTACCTGAGTGATGAAGGAAGCTTGCTCTAGTAAAGTTCATTCAAAAACAGCATAAAGTTAGGAACAGAAATCAGTAAAATTGAGAACAGAGGATTTGTCACACCAAAATATTATTTTTTTAAAAGATTAATAAGCTAGGCAGACTTCTGATATAATCGACAAGAAAAAAGATGCAAATAAATGAAAAATGGAAAATAACTACAAATATTAGATTAAAAAAAGAATGTTATGAATTTAGGCTGATAAATTTGAAAGCTTAAATGAAAAGTATAATTCTTAGAAAACTATTAAATGTGAAAATTGGTATCAGAAGAAATACCTTGAACTAATAAACTGAAATGGTAAAGATCTCCCTTTTTAGAAGCTCTGGATCCAGATACTCTTGTGAGTTCCATCACATTTTAACGCTTAATTCCTTTTGTAAGTTGTCCTGGAAAATAGTGAGAAAAATACCAGCTTCATTTTATGGAATTTGTGAAATCTTGATTCTAAAATTAGGTAAGGGCATGTAAGAAGAGAAAATTACAGGTCTGTTTTACTTAGCATAGAAATGAAAATCCTGCAAAAAAACTACGAGTTCATCAGATCCAACAGTGTGTTAAAAGAGTCATGATCCGTAGAGTTAGTCTTAGAAATGTAAGCATTGTTTAGCATCCACTTACCTAATTTAACTCTTTAACTAAAGGAGAAAAATGAACGATTATCTCAATTGGTGCCATGAAATCATTCAACAAGATCCCGCACCTATTTATGGTAAAAACTCCTAACAACCTAGGAATACAAAATAACTAGGTGAGGTCATTATCAAAAACTTACAGTAAATAATAATACTTAATGGAGAAATTTTAGATACATATGCTTTAACATTAATAACCAGATAAGGATGCTCCTGTCATCACTACTGTTTAGCATTGTAAGACGGTCCTGGCTAACATTATAAGGAAAAAATAAATAAGGTATAAAGATTGTAAGGCAAGTGATAATGCTTATTTGCAGATAATATGATCACCTACCTAGATGAATCCTTAAAATCAAGAGAAAACTTAGAACTAGTAAGAATTTAGCAGGATTGCTGGACTTAAGATAACTTAAAAAATTGATAGCATTTACTAAACTACTGATAACTAGTAAAGATAATCAAAAGTAAATACTGTATGCAATAATAGTAACAAAACTATGAAGTCTCTAGCAATTAACCCAGGAATACACAAGACCTTTAAGAATAAAACTTTATGAAGAAACGGGAACATAATCTAAATAAATTTTCCTTGCTCTTGGATCAAATTATTTAATAAGAATACTAATTTTCTCCATTTATAAATTCAGTTTAAATGCCATCAAAATTACATTTGGTTTGACAAACTCAGTAACCTAAGTCTAAAATTTATATGGTGGGTGGAATAAAGTTTGTAAATAAATTAATCTTAAAGACTTGTTTGGGGATGGGAGGCTTGCCTTATTAGAACTTAAAATGTCAAGGCTGAAGTATAGTGGTATAAGTTCAAGAAAAACAGACCAAGGGAACAAATTGGAGGGCAGAGACTTACCTAGATAGATGTATATTCGGGAACTTTTAAAGTGGCATCATAAACCGCTGGAGAAAGGAGCCATATGTTGTCAGAGTGACTCACTATGTAGAGAAAAAATAAATTTAATATCACAGATGGATAGACTCTGAATGAATTAAACACCTAAATGTGAAAAGAAAAACTAAATTATTATAGAAAATGTTAAAGAAGTTCTTTCCCTAGGGTCATGGAAGTAGTTTTTAAAGCTTCAGAAGCTTATAAAGGTGAAAAAATAATGATTTTGATTTATGAAAATTAAGGATTTTCATTCAGCAAAAGACGAAAGAAATAATTTATTTACAGTGCCTAAAATTGACAAGGGATTATCTGACTAAACAAGGGACTACTGTACATCAATAATAAGAGGGCATCGACCTCTGTAGAAAAATAGGCAAAGGATATTAATAAGTAGTTTATAGAGTAGGAAACTCTAACAAGCATAAGAAGAGATAAAATTATTAATATTCAGAGACATGCATATTAAAATAGTAATGGAAAAAGTATAATTGGATTGTTTGTAAAACAAAGGATCAATGATTGAGGTGATGGATACCCTGTTTACCCTGATGGAATTATTACATATTGTATGCCTGTATCAAAATATCCCATATACCTCATAAAAATATATGCTTACTGTATACCCACCAAAATTAAAGAATAAAAATAGTAATAGAGTGTCTTTTCCCACCTGTTAGGTTGGCAAAAATTAGAAAGCTGAATTGTACCAAGTGCAGTGGAGATATGGTAATATAGGAAAACCTGTACTTGCTTGTGGGAATAAGTGTAGTAGACTTGTGAGATGCCGAGATGCCCAAAGTCTCTGGATCAGTTAATGAAAGATAGCTGCCATGTTGATGTATCCGTGAGCTATGGAAGTGAAGGTATACTTTATACTGTAAGGTGAAAACAGCTTCTGTTGGTTTCTGGTTTTGGGACAGAGCAAAAAGGGATTTGTTACCTTGATGGATATATGGTAGGTACCAGGGATGATGTTGAGTTGTCACGGTGAATAGACCATGTCTGGAACAGCAATTAAAATTGCAGAGTCACCTTGGATTTGATTGATGATAATCCACAGTCATGCTCTGAGGCCCATCTCTTTTGTGCTGGCCAGACAGGCTCATGAAATCAGAATGTCATCACCATTCCTATCTTTTAAGTCTTTGACGTCGGTAGTATTTTCTGTAGTTCTCACAAAGATGTGCTGTTGATTGGTTTGAGTTTATTATTTTGGTAGGAAAGGGTGCATCTAGGGGATTCCACTTGGCCCTTCCTATGTTGATATTCCTGACTTCACAGATCAGGGAGCCATGAACTTGTTTTCAGAACTGGGGAGTCGCAGTGTTACTGTGGGTCCACCAACCCTACTGTGAGATGGATTGAGGCCAAATGTCATGTACCATTTACATGACATCCATAAGCCCCTGATCTGCCTGGTTTACCATAGTGAATTCCTGTCTCTTAGGGTTTGTACTGGCTTAAAGCCAGTGTTTATTAATCCTTGAAAAGTCTCAGCGATTTTCATTTCCCAAATGTACTGTCTCCTTAATGAATACCTGCATATTGTATTGGAAAAGGCTAGGTGGAAGACTTTAATTATGCTCTTGAAGCAATTTTGTGGGTTTCTTGCTCAGTGGAATGCATCGTCTTTATTCCAGCAGTTCTGTGTCTGTGAACAGGCTCAGTGTGGGTCTTAGGTGATGTTATATGGCTCTTCATTATGGCCACTTAAGTGAGACCTCTGTTGAATATACCTAGAGTTTTTCTTTTCTGTCCATTATAACAGATCAAGTAATACCCGAGTATACTGCCTTTTTTCCCTAAGGACATCATGATTAGCCACCATGAGATAGATCCAAGCCACCAGATGTCCAAGCCATTCTGCTAATCACTCTGGCCCTGCTGCCTATTAAAATAAACATGCCCATTTTATATCTGGAAGTTATTTCTACATATCCTTTGTCACTCTGGAAATAGAACTATTCCACTGAAATCAGGGAACCCCTTTGAATGGCAGTATTGCCCATCTTTAACCCAGAATTACAAGGCACTATCAGCCACAGCATTTTTTTCAATAATTGTATTTAATTATTTGTATATTTCTCAGTTGGTGAAGGACCTTCTCAGAGCAGTTTAGAGAGTGTGTAAGAGTGGGTTAGAACGTGACAAATTTACATTCCTTTCTTCGTATGTCTGGACTCATTTCTCCATATGCTAAGGAATTTCTGTTCTGACTGCCTCCTGCCTCCTCTTCTTCCTTTTCCTCTCCTCTTCTTTTTCCTCCATGTCC